AGTGGGATTAAATATGGCAGCTAAGCACAGTGTTCAATGAACTGGGAAGACAAATCAGAACTGCTGTTAGCAAGCTGAGCAGCACGCTTAAGACACTGCCTGAAAACAGTGAAGGAAAATGGACCTGGCTGCATTCAAGGAACAGAAGTCACTGAAGTGTCAGTTCTTTATAGAAAAATGCTTCAGTGTGTGCACCATCCTAAAGCAGCAGGACAGAAAAGTACATGCATGAAGTAGATTAACATTAAGGGTGTGGGAGGAATTACAATAGGTCAAAAGGTCCATAAAGGAAAATAAGAGCTCTTACCTATGAAAGATGTGGAAAAATGTTTATTAAGAACAATATCTTACACTAAACATACCATGGAAGCTTTATTCAGCATTTGTAAGTAGAAGCTTCTTTGAAAAATTAACATTGCTAACTATGGAGTGCTAAAGCTAAAAGTTTAACTGCTATGTCCTCACACCGTAACTGTCTTATGACATAGATTAAGTTAGCGCTTTCTGAGCTGTGGCCTGGGCTACAAGACTTCTAAAAGTTCCTTCTAGCATAAAATCTTTCAACAATTCTACATGGACCAAAATAAATCCTAAACTATTTGAATTAAACCTCTATGAACTAGATAATACAGCCTAAAACTTACACTGAACTTCATTGTTGTTTTAGTTTACTTCCAAGAAGAAACAGTTTACCAAATGTTTTGACAAGACAGATGAATATTAGCTGTTAGAAGAGTAACAGAAGCTAAAGAGTAGTAGAAAGTCAATAAAAATGTCACATATCAGCAAGGCATATGTTAAGTGGAAATTCCTAAGCCTTTGGAAGTACCAGAGATAACCTGGTTGACCCTACCACATTTTTCAGAATTCACTCAATTTATTGTTCTCTAGGTACATCACTAAATGCTGTATCTTATCTAAAACCATCTTTCATGACAGTTGTTCAAATGTTATGAAGTTAGAATTTTCTCTCCCAGAAGCTGACACTCTAAAGCCTGGATCTATTTAAATCAAGGAAAAATAAAAGCCATGCACGTGACACAGTCTGAGAAGCCATCAGCACAACCAGGCATAATGGCATACCTGAAGCCACTGGAATTTTGCACTTAAAATACTCAAATCTGTCATGGCTAGCTACTTAATTTATACCCTCATGAACTACCCATGTTCCAACTTTATTCAAACATGACATCAACATAAGGAGGGTACTGATACACCATACCTGCTTTGCCAATCTGAACTGCGAGCTTTGTAAGTTTGCCTTGAAGAACCGACTTTTCTTTCTTTGGCAGATTTGCTCTCTTTTTGTCTTTCTCATCTCCATCCCCGCCATCCTCACTCTTCAGTGGTTGCATTTCCATGGCTGCACCATCCTGAGCTTTAGCTAGAAGTTACAATCAAATAAAGTTTAGCCATTGCAGAGTCCCCAAAAATCAGTGATACTTAAAAAGCTTAACACCAGGCAGACTAAACACCAGTACTGCGTAGTACCTTGTATCCAGAGATGCCACAGTACACGTGAATGTTTAAACAAGTGTATTGGGTCTGGGTGCCCAGGTGCTGGCAGCAGGGGAGCTGCAGCCTGTGGATAAGACCATGGTGGGGCATGTTGTCCCTCTGCAGCCCATGGAAGATCACAGCGGAGCACATATCTGCACTGCAGCCCATGGAGGACCCCAGGCTGCAGCAGGCAGATGTGCCCTGAAGGAAGCTGCATCCCGTGAAGTGCCCATGCCAGAGCGGGCTCCTAGCAGGAGCTGTGGCCTGTGAGAAACCAACACTTGTGCAGTCTGTTCCTGAAGGACCGTATCCTGTGGGAAGGGCCCATACTGAAGAAGTTCATGAAGGACTGTAACCCATGCAAGGGACCCCACAATGGAGCAGGGGAAGAATGTGAGGACGAAGGAACAGACAAGCATCACGAGTTGACAAAAAACCCTATTCCCCATCCCCATGAATTCCTCAGAGGGAGGGGGCAGAGGAGTCAAGAGTGAAGTTGAGCCTGGAAGGAAGGGGGAGTGGGCAGAAGATGGTTTTAGTTGGCTTTGTTTTTCACCATCCTACTCTATTTTTAATAGGCAATAAATTAATCTTCCCCAGGTTGAGTCTGGTTTGCCCATGAAGATAATCAGTAAGTGATCTCCCTGTCCTTATCTCAACCCACAAGCTTTTCATCCTATTTTCTGCCCTGTCCTGCCAAGGAGGGGGACTGAGAGAGCAGCTGGGTGGGCATCTGGCAGCCAGATAAGGTTAACTCACCTCAACATGATAGCTTGAAAATAATTCAAAAAGCTTACTTTTGTAGCATCTAGCTATGTTAAGACATAGAATCACATAATGGTTTGGGTTGGAAGGGACCTTAAAGATCACCTAGTTCCAACCCCCCTGCCATGGGCAGGGACATCTCCCACTAGACCAGGTTGCTCAAAGCCCCATCCAGCCTGGCCTTGAACACTGCCAGGGAGGGGGCAGCCACAGCTTCTCTCAGCAACCCAGTTCAGTGCCTCATCACCCTCAGTGAAGAACTTCTTCCTAATATCTAATCTAAATTTCCCCTCTTTCAGTTTGAAACAGTTAACCCTTGTCCTAATCACTACACTCCCTGATAGAGTCCCTCCCCATCTTTTCTGAAACTACAAAGTTCATTTAAGCATTTGTTTTGGGCAGATTCACTTATACCATCTTTAGCACAAGCACTTTGAATCTAAGTATTCAATATGCATTTTCATAGGAAAGTATCTGTTCATCACACACACTCTCAGAAAATAGGGACTTGCAAGAAAGGATCAGAGAGCCTGCATTTACCTTTGTTACGGTTTTCAACAGCTCCATCTTGCTTTTTACCTGTCAGAGAGGGGAACAAGTTGTGCTTTAAATTGGCTGTACAGAGTTCATTTCAGTGTTTGTTTATATATATAATGTATATATTACCATATGCTGAAACAGGTAACTGCATTTAAACAGAAAATGTAGAATAAACTGTAGACAGAGGGCTGCCATAACTGAGGCTTTGAAAGTATAAGTCACAGAAACAGTTCAAATCAGTTTTTTGCACTTTACTTTTCCCATACAAGACTGCTGCAGGGTTATGCTACCATAGTTAAGTTTGCACAAGTTACTGATGCAGACATTTCTTATTTGAGAGGAAAGCTTTTAAAAAAGATTTGCATAAATGTTTTTCTAGGAAAGAAATTTGTGACACTAAAGTGATTCTGGTGGCCTCAGTCTTGCTCTCTGTTCTTCCAAATTTTGGCAGCTGTGTCTGACTACTACTGTAAATTTACTGTAGAATCTCACTTCCAGAACCAATGCTTTTTTACAACGTTGCAGAAGCTACTGTAGTATAACACATTTATAAATCCACACCAAAGCTTAATGGAGGTACAGCACTGGATTACTGGATCTATGCTAACCCTATTTACGCAAGCATGAACATAATCTGTTGGCAACATACCAATATTACACCACTAAAAGAATAGTTCAAGTTCATAATAAAGTATCACTCCTACCTCTGTTTAGAAATGAAGTTTAACAAGAGATCATAAAGGATAGTGAAATAGTGAAAGAAATTAATGAGAGAAATATTATAGGTAACTAGAAGACCCACACATCGTGTGGAGCTTATTGGGCCAGGGAGGGCGCACTACTTTTTTTCGTTTGTCCTTTCAGGTAAAAAGGTTTAGATACTAGCTTGGAAAATTACAAACTTTTCTCCTAACTATGTAGACTGAAATGTATAAGAGTATTCAGGTAGAATAGAATCAAATTATCAAGCAGCCTGTCTGTCATGACTTTTAATACCTCCACTACATTATACTATAGACATAGTCTGATTTCTCTATCTAAGATTTCCTCCCCCAAACACCTTCAGAACAGCTGAAGCAAAAAAAAAAAAAACAACCCATGTTCAGCTTCGCCAGAAGATGCCACTTCAGATGTCTTAAGAACTCATCATTGTCTCCTAATTTAGTATTTGTTGTTTTCCAGTTCCCCTTCACCTCTTACAAGAGCAAAGTTCTACATTTGAGTTACTTCTAACTCCTTGTACATGCGTTTGCTTTCACTGTGAACCAAGCCATACACAGCCAACTAAAAATAGCCACTTTAATCTCCTTAATGGTCACAGAGAAGCTAATTTAGTTTAACCAGAGTTTTAACAAGAAGAATCTTATCAGGCATTTAAGGGTAAGAGGAAAAGAGGAAGCTGTCCATCTTGGGAGACTCAAAAACCCACAAGTTTTCAGGCCCTAGGATACACCAAAACACTACTTGTCAAAAAGACTTCTGCTTGTAGAATAATAAACACTGGTAGAAAATAAATAAAAGCTATAATCTTCTCCATATCTCCTGTAGCAGCTAGTAGCGTTGCTTTTTTCCTTCTCCTTCCTCTGTAAGGGCAAGAGCAATGGGTGGGAAATGTCCCACACTAATACCTGGAAGCGTTGCAGGTCAACTTTTACTCTTTGCTACCATGCTTGAGCTTGAAACTAATTTTGAACTTTCAATTCTTCTTGTAAGAATTCTTGTAAGAATTCTTGTAACTTACTTCTGAAGAAACTTACTGCTTTAAGTTTCAAGAAGGTCAGAATTTTAAAGTATTTGTGGATTAGGACACGACAAAAAGCACAGTTCAATCCTAATTCCTACACAGATCACACATTTCAACAGTTGCCTCTAGTTTGAAGGTCACTGAGACTCCTAAGCACGCTTCTGTATGGCTTCCAATTTATGGCTTTGCATTATTGTTTCATATTTGTCTGCTGAAAAAGTATATTTTACTGCCAAGAATCCTCAGACTCAGTCCCATCCAGTAGATCTCACAACAGTTACTAGAAAAGCTTTTGCTCTGGTGAAGCTCAGTCCTGAGCATGCCTTGTGAGAGCTAGTATTAAAACATTACTGGTTAACATTTCTAAGCTTTGAGTCTCAGGATAAAGGCTATGGCTTATCTAAGTGACCTTATAACTCCAGCTACTAAGCAAGTCCTTCAGAGTAAGGAAGACAGCCCATTTCACACTTCGCAGAAGGGCTACAAAATACTCTGCGTTACAAGCCCCTCATCCCTCCAAAAATAAAGTTTACAGAAAAGGGATCCCCACTAGGGATTTGCCTAGTGTATACCTTTGAGCATTCAAAGTTTTCGCACTGGAAGAAAAGGAGTGGCAGAAGCAGCTATCTGCTCATCTTCATCAAAATCAGTCTTATATATGCTTAAGATATCCACAAACTCAGAAGTATCAATGACACAAGCTTTTTACCTTCAGGTGTCATAGAAGAACTCCCTATACAGGATATAGTTACCTGTCAGAAGCAGAACTAGATACTTATTAGGTTGAGTTACCAGTAATAACTTGTTTACCATAAACAAATATTTGCTGTTAGACATGAACGTACTTTGAAGTTACACAAGATGGCAGTTTAAGAATTTATACGTGACTGGTTAGGAGTTGTAAACTTTGCAAACTCTAATCGATCAATGAGATCTGAAGTTTAAAAATCCACGTGACAGGAGTTAGTAGTAGTGGTGTACTCTCAGGACACCGGACCTGAGGTTTTTTTTCCCTGTGAAACCTACTGAAAAGAAGGTTAAAAAAAAGATTTCTGGCTCCAGGTAACTAGAACACGTTACATCCAGTAACATTCAGGAGTTCACCCCTCCCTCCCCACAGATTTAAGATTAATATGCCTACTTTTCTTGTCCTTTTTCTCTTTTTCTTTCTCCTTCTCCTCTTCATCTCCTCCAGCTCCAAGTAAGGTAAAGATGATTCCAGTCTGAGAGTTCACACCTACAGCAGTAACTACCATTCTTCCAGAGCCTTCCATCACATGTGTACCTGAAAGATTGAATCAGGTTTTCCACTGAGACTTGAGCAGTTACATGGCAGAGCACAAAGGAAATGAGTCTCAAACTTCACATTGACAAAACCATAAGATGTGTATATATACCATTGTGTTCCCCTGCAGCTTTTATTCCCAAAACTACCTGGAACATAGAACCATAATTAACTAAACAAAATGTTTGTCAGTTTTAAGAGTCTGCTCACTTTGACACAGTTTTGTACTAGTTGCACTGTTCTTGGCTACTTCTAGAAGTCAGCCTAGATAAGGCCTGCTTTGCCAGATTTTTAACTTCAAAATTTTAAATAACCAGTTTACCCCCAGAAACAAACCACTTTCTTCTAGAACTGTCAAATGTTACACACCTGACAGCAGCATAGGATCTCTGTCCAGAGATTTCTTAACATGATCAGATTCTCCAGTCAATGAGCTTTCATCAATTTTGAGGTCATTTCCTTGAATGAGTACACCATCGGCCGGTAAAAGATCACCTACGAGAGATCACTGGGTATGTTGACTGCAGTTCCTTTTTTAAAAATAAAAGAAAGTTCAACTTTAAAAATATGTTTACCATATTTCACTTGTGCAATATCTCCAACAATTATGTCAGCTACTGGTATTTGGATGACTTGGCCACCTCTGATGACTGTGAATTTCTGTTCTTGTTCAATACGGCTCTGCAATCCCCGAAATTGTTTCTCTTTACTCCAGTCATTGAAAGCTGTTACTAATACCACACAAACTACAGATAGGAGGATTGCTGCTCCTTCAATCCAACCTGCTTCAGATTCCTCCTCTTCTTCACCAACATTTACTGATCCACATACTGTAGAAAACAGGTTTTAGATTTAAGAAAGTTTGCGCAGATAGTTATTTCAATAACAAAAGTGTTTTGCCAAACAGAAGAAATTACTAATAGTTGCTAAACATTCTTCATGCTAGCTTCTTTGCAATTTTACATTTATTTTCAGCAAGAGCAACAAAGAAGCTAAACAACTTGACAGCTAGAGCAGCTCAAGGAAGTTAAACCACCTAGAATTTACATCCCGGCTTATCTGAACACAGGAGAAGTTGATATAGAAAGTTACTTGTCTTTATTATCTTGTTAAATGATGACATAAGAATGCCACACTAGACAGTTAGCCACCTTCTGCTTTCTCAACATTACCCACTTAAACTTTATCTTAACAAGCCAGATATCTTGCAAAAATACAGTTCAATGAAGGCCAGATTCATTCAGCTTCCTTTTAGAAGTATAAATATAGCTTCATTTCTTAAACTAGAAAGTTACCAGGGTCATATTGCAAATCAAAGAAAATTTAAGACTTGCTGACTCCCCACAGAAAGCACATGAACGCAAATTATAAATTGCTTAAATATTTGAGGCAAAGCTAAAAAAACCACGTGCACAGAAACATGACTGTATCTAAGACAAGCCCTTGTTCTTGCTGCTTGCACTTTAGCTTTGGCATTATTTCAGTCAAAATGACACCAGATCATGACCAGGGAAATCTCATGTTGCCCTTTTAAGACAAGCTAGAGTTTTAGTAGTGCTCTCTGAATAAGGAACAATAAGCTGCTTTTCCACTGACTTACTGTCTCCCACCAGATTTACAATATAGGCATGTTGGACCAGGAAAGTCAGTAGTACAATACATGGAGATAACTACTTTTTAGAAAGTTTACTTACATGATTCATTTCCTCCTGGAGGCTGATAAAAAGAAAGGCCCAAGGATACTACGGCTGCAATTTCTAATATAATTAGTGTAACGTCCTGTAGTGCTTCCCATACTAACTGAAGAAATGTTTTTGGCTTTTTAGGAGGTATAAAGTTCTTCCCAAAAACTGCTTCTCTCCTTTCTATATCTGCTGGATTTCCACTTAAACCTATTTAATAATAAGACAAAGTTAGTGACACTTACTTGCATTTCAACCTCACATTAGAAGTGACTGAGGTTTCCCATTCATGGAGCCAAGTCCCACTCCGTATTTCAGTAATACTAAAAAGCCGTATCTCATATAATTACGTAAGTATTATCCATAAATCGAGTTACTACAGAAAAGCATATTTTATAATTCACACTTTGCCAATATAAAGTAAGCTGATGGTCTACCTACTTGCACTTAATATGACATAGCAACAGAGTATTAGGAACAGACATACCTTTGTACAAAGCAAACAAGTTTGCAAGACAAGATCATTAGTAGAGTTATTACTATCGAGCCTGAGTAGCACCATGCAGCTTTAGCAAGACCACAGCCTGTGAAGCCAGCTCTGGTTCCCACTGTAGGGATTCTGTATTCAGAGATAACATCCTAGGATCCTACAATTAATGTAACATTTATAATGAAATATTTAATATAACTAATAATATAAAATACTATAAATACTATATGTGTTTATTATTTATTATATAAAATACTATAAAAAGCTGATGAAGCTCTCCAGGCATCATGTGGAAAGAGGCAGCCACTTAACGATTCTGCTTCTGCCTGGACAGCAGTTGTTGGCTCTTATGAAGCTTCACTTACTTTCTATGTCTTTTCACATAGATCGAGACCATATTTAGTGTGCACCCACTGTGCAGCGTCTGTCACCTCAGTTTTGTATCCATCTTCTTTCTTATATGGTGCATTTATTTCAGAGTCCTCTGTCTCAACTCTTGTACCATCCTTAAGAGACACTAGCATGCAAAAGTGAGAGGCCTTCAGTAAAAGGCACTGCATGCATCAAGGGTTAGCGAAGCCCTTAAAAATAAAGGAATAATCAAGTATATTCAGTGCAAGGTCATGCACTCAAGGTCTTCTGTAAGTACACCTCCTGTTTACTCCTTCAACCATTTCCAGCTGCCTAATTTGCCATTCAGAATTTAAGCCACTAGCTCATTTTTCAAAGCAAAATGGCCAAACATCCAGCCACCATCAGAGCAAAGGTCTGGATACTTCAACCATATCATCCCCAAAGTTATGATCAGCATCTCCTTAAAGACAACAATTTTCTTAGTAGCAGTTTTCTTAGTAGTTAACCCAACTGTTTAGTGACAAAGGCATTGCAAACACACTAGGCAATGAATAAGAACAGCGACCACTGCAACTGGCTTTCAGAAGTGGGGTATTTAACACCTCTAACAGACATTTCCTAGAACCATCACATGATATTTCAAGACACTTCGCTAAGACTACTGAACTGCAAAGCTCAGTTTTAAATGCTAACAACTGCTGTGTAATCACCGAACTGAAAAGCAAAATATTACGTGCAGATCTTTTCAAAAGTGTAAACGAATTAAACATATTCTTAATGTATATAATAAATTAGATTTATTCTAACACTCTTAGATTCACCCTGAATTCATGGCTTTGGAGGTTTAATACAAAGCAGGAATTTCACTGGTTAGCCGTAACACTACACTTCTCGAAGTTCGAGCTTTGAGGTGCTGGCTTTCACTCTCAAAAGAGCACGGCAAGACTATTTTCAAAATCAAGCTATATGAGAGGATCTAGAGAAACGCAGGACAGCTTGGCCATTCCAAAAGGCTGAACCATATTGCTACTTTGCAACAGATAACACTTCTGTCTTCCTTTTCGCACGGCAGAGTTTGGAAGATTATTTACCTAATGTCAGCAACGAGGCTATATGAAGTCAAGCTACTATCAGAACCACTTAGTGAAGATTAGTAAATAAGCCTAGCAAAGATAAAAAGCATTTGTATTTTTAGTATCTGACATAACAGACCATGCACCATTACTTAACTTGCTACATTTACCACAGAGCTGGCAATTTCATAGTTCACAGTCCGCAGTCCTGAGGTCAAAATACTGCCATATCTTAACTAGGATAATTTATGTTATTTGGGGTTAAGTTTGAAAAATATTATGCAAGGGACTAGTTTAAGCTTCATATACAAATTTTATTAGAAATGTAGAAGTTATGTAGACCTGTAGAAAAATCTATGGCGGTTGACCTCTCCAGAATATAGGAAGGAGATTTGCCACTACAGATATATCAAACATTGGTTTATTCACATTTGTATACATTTGTACACATGAAGGACATAATAAACACTAAATATGAAGTAGTAAAGTCTGTTCAGTGTCTTTTTCTACTGGTAAAGGACAGTTCCCATTTCTTATCTCAAATCAGGTAGGTCTGATCCACATTTCACCTGAAAAAACAGATGTTGCCTTACATTGTCAACAACTTCAAAGCAAGAAATTACAGAAGCTGAACTTATCCATTGTGTAGTTTTTCAGAACTACCTGTACTTTAGCTGTGAAGCCACTGGTAAATACACAAGTCAGCATTTCATATCATAAAGAACGCTTTTGAATAGGAAGAAGTGTCAGAGGGCCTTGCAGATGTACACATCAGACTTTAGAGGGTTAGAACTAGTGGAACACAAAGCAGTTTTTTGCATAGATCTTGCCTAGATTTGCTCTGTTAGAAATGCTTCTATAATTACAACTTGAATTTGACAAAGAGACCTAGTTCTACTTTCACAAGAGCTCTCCAGTACTACCTCCAAGAAATTTACAGCTGCTTACCTGACAAAGAGGCTGGTTCTCTCAAGTTTCATGTAGTGATTTACAGCCAAAATGACACCTTTACAGAGGACACTGCTCTAACTCGTCTTACTTAACCTTTTCTAGGCTAATTACCATGTTCAACTGTTGAGGCCTTGCTGTGTTTATGAGCTGCTCTTACACTTCAAAAGAAAGATGGTGCCCTTTTATCAAATTAGTGATTGTATTTAACTGATTACATCTAAATGTCAAATCCTTTTGAAAGGGAAAGGCCTTGATCACGCAGTCCTCAGTACAGCAGAATCAATCTGCAGGAAAGGGCATCTAACCCTTTCTAGTTTCAGTATGCTGACACTCATCATTTCCATATGTTAACCTGCTCATTACATTAACGGTCATAAAATGGATCCTGCAGCACACCAGGTATTTTGTGCTTAGTGCATCATGGCTGTCTACAATCGTACACCGACGTAGCTTGCAGTAATAATGGGCCTTAATACTTGCAGATTACTGCAAAAAAGGATTCAATTTTCAGTTCAGTTCCTGATTGTAGAAAGCTACAGCCCTTTTCACTGAGAACGGAAACTTCTTTTGAACACTATGAAACAGGTCAAGAGGGTAATGAGAGACTACTTTTCCTGTCTAAGAGGTGTTGCGCTGCTTGTACACAGCAGTGCTTCACACGCATGCACTAAACTTTACAACTCCATTGATGCTGAGGAACAGAACTTTACACTCCTCATATTTTACAAGTTTCTTCTTCAGCCTAAAACTGTTCTGCTCCCCTTCACTGGCAAGGTCAGGCATGAGAGCTGGCTACTTTCAGTTTGGTAACAGGAACCCAGTTCATGTACTGAAATAATTTCAGGAGTCTGGAAATCACAAGTTTGGCTTCAAAAGCAGATCAAGCCAAAACATGCTAAATGCAGATGCACGCAGAGATACCTTACAGCACTAGTAAGGTGTTCTTGATCCAAGGCGACAAACCTTTCCACAGTATTTCTGAAGAACAGAAAGCAACAGCTCTCCAGGATTAAGACAGCAGGTACTTTACTGCCACCAACACAATGCCACATTGGTGAAAAGCTACGTGAGTGCTTTTTTGCCAAATACCACAACTTTTGCCAAAACCTTGATTTTGTTACCTCTCAATCACTACCAAATCACAACCAAAGAAAGTAGTAAAAGAAGGACAGATCTTAAGGAGACTTGTGGAAAGCTCTCAAGAAGGAGACTTGATACTTTTATTTCCTTCTTCACATTTATACAGTCTATCTCAGAGTAATAACTCTAGAGAGCAAATGCATCAGATAGCCACACTTCACAGAATGCCATCAATTTCAACACGGCAAAGACTTCTTTAAAGCTGCATATTTCTAGAGAATAAGATTGTGTGACCACTTCACAAACCTTCTACTAATAGTGACAGTACGTCGTGCCTAAAGCTGTATTGATAGTTATTTTCTATAGATAAAATGAAATCTATAGAAATACTACTGATTCAAAAACTAGATCCTCTATTAAGAATTCAATGTAGTACAAATAGGAAAAAATACGTCACAAGTTAAAAATTGTTGCATTAGTGAATACAAGAACTAGGTAGCATTAATAAGCCCTGCATTAGACTATTAAAACCTTGCGTTCTACAAGAGAATGATCTTACTTGTGAACTATAGGTCAAGATATTCACAAAATTTACACTTTCACAGGAACTTAAAACATTCCTACGTTGCATTGCTACTTCATATGTGGATGCCTATGTCAATGAACTTTATTCGAAAGTGCAACTTCGCCACTAAGCCAACACCTCCATGCAGTTAGACCAACTCTTGCTTAATCATTACCATTTAATACCTCTGCTCTAGAGGAGTAAGAAGCAATATTTTATTATGGTAACTGAAATACTTTAATAAACTTTGTTATATTAAAAATAGGAGTTTGCTTGACTAAGGTATTTCCTAAATGGAGTTTACTCAATAATAGTGTCAAAATTTACTTACCTTCATTTGGTGAAGTTTTCAATTTTGTACAGATGCCGTGTACATCTCCATAGCATTCCTGTATTTTATGCAGTGCATCTGCAGCTCGAAGTTCCATAAGAGAACGGAGCTCTGCAAGAGTAACTCCAAAATCTCCATGATTGGCTTCTTTTACAGCATTTTTTACGCCACTATATGCGACCGAGTTGTTTGCCATGTCACCCATGATGTGTGCAGTCTTTAGTGTAGACAGTTTCCAGTAAGGAACAAGATTTCAACTTAAAATATTTCCAACAGGAAAATAAATCCTTTGGGTATGAAGACAGTCAGGAGAGCAGACACATCACCCAAGTAAGAGACCCCGTCTGGAGTGGTATCTTTGAGGTTGTCCCATGGCGCGTTCTGTTCCCCAAGTCAAATGGCATGTACAGTCTAGGGAAAGATACATTCAGTTACATAACACCTATACTGAAACACATTCTAATACAACCCTACTCTTCATATTGATGTTACAGAACAAATTTCTGCTTAAGGATAACTTCTTCATATTTCCTACAATATTTTTAGTTAGTATTCAGCTGGCAAGAGTGTAAGGCATACAATGGATGTTTCCTATCCCAAAATAGCCTTGCATTATTACACATTCTTAAGTCATTAACTTCTTAGAACAGCTGTTGCCTTTAAGTCTTGCATTTTGCTTGGTATATCCATATGGTTCATCATTAAGAGGAAACCTTTAAAAACACCTGGAAGCAAATCAGTTTCCAGGAAAATGAAGTTTAGAGCATTCCCCCACCGATATCACATGGGGCAAGAACATGCTCAAGTTGAAATCCTGACTTCTCAATGAAGCTTCCACCTCAGAGCTTGAAAGAGCACGCTTTTGTGTGTTCCCATGAATTCATTTGCGCAAACCTCAAGGAAAACAGTTTCAACACTAAGTTAGCCCACACATGAAGTACTTTTGTAGTGTAAGTAGGAGTATATCTTCAGGCAGACCTAGGTCTTAATGCATTTTCACGTCCAAACAGTTTTAGCCCCCTCCAGCCCATTTCCTCACAACTCAAGCCTCCCACAGTATCTGCATTTAATTCTTTGAACAGAGAGGAAAATTGCACAGTACCACCTTCTTACAAAAAGGATAAGGAGACTAAAAGCAGCTCTTCCATCTAATTATCAGCACACTGTAGATGAAAAATTACCATCTGCCCACAGCATTCTTAACCTGCACAGGCACTCTGCATTTAATTGCCGTTGGCTGACACATCTCGCATGTACACATGTATCTACACACCAGTATAGTGAACCCACAAACACTTCATGCCTATACAAAGATCTGCTGTGTGCAGAAGACAGAAGTCTGATCGTGTAAGTCAGCTTTATCAACATAATGGGGCATGGTGAGCACATATAACAATATATTCCCCCATGAAACATTATGACTGCCAGGCTCAGATGAACAATAACATGGACACTTGCAGGTCAACAAGACCTTCAGGTGCCATATGCCTAGCAAAGGCAAACACGGTTACCACTGACTGCATTGCTTTACAAAGTCAAATGGGAAATAAAAGATTTCTGGCTGTTGCTCTGCCAGGTTAGAGGACTGTTCAGCTGAACAACTGCTTCTACGCCAAGATCCAGGTATAAGAACCTAATTACCAGAAATTTGAGGTCTTGGTTCCAGGAAAGTCTCAGTTCTCTGTTCTAGAAACAGTCAGCTTCATCTATAGTTAATCTATCGTTTTAAGCACTGTGCCACAGTACTGCATTTGCACTGAAAACAATCACTGATGCTGAAAGACCCTGAAGTGATGTCACCTGACCGCAAGTGACAGTCTCATCTTCAGCAGAAATACAA